AAATCATGTATTGGTAAATCATAGCTGTATCAGGCAGCGCTGTATGTTTGTGCTCTCGCAGGAACTGTCCCAGTGCTCCAGGAATGAAAGGTGAATCCAAGGATTGGTTGCATAGAAAATATTACATTCACTTTGATAGCAAGAAAGTGGCAGGAGCTTCTAAAATGTGCTGTTCTGGTTTTGATATGTAGCAGCTCAAACAAGTGCCTCGTCAAATGGCTAGCAATGTCAGTGGCAGCTTTTTATTTCCCCTGGCCACCAAGTCACTACAAAATACAATCTTGACACAACCAGTTTTGATTAAGTAACCCTGTGTCCATGTATTTTTGATATTAAAGGCTGTGGCAAGTGTTGACTACTGTTGCTCTTCATAAATGTGAGATTTTTTTTTTTTTAATTGCACTTTTCTATTGTGGGCAGCAGTTAGGCCTTACTGTAGTGTAGGTAGGTTGGGCAAATTAAAAGAGAAGAGAATTAGGTTTCTAGAAATTACTGCTGGTGTAATGCAGTTGAATGTGTCACATATATTACAGCTGGAAATAGTGTTCTTGAAGTTCCTGGAGTTACGGAAATCTCATGTTCATTAAAGAAAAAAGGGGGAAATTTCCAGCTTATGTGGTTGTAGAGAAAATCTAAAGATTGTGAACATGGAGGGCTAAAAAGTAGCAAGGCACAGAAAAAGATTCACCATGTGTTGTGATTTTTTTAGGGAAATCGCATGGTCTATACAGGGGAGTTTTGCCCTCCAGTAGCCAGGGCAGCGGTTCTGCTGCAGCCAGGCAGAGCTAAGCCCCTGAGCCCCGGTTGGGAAGGTGGCCTGACCCCCGGTTGGGAAGAAGGTGGCCGCTCCTACCGTTCCCGACTGAGCAGTCTCTATAAATGAAATGTAACGCTTTTGTTGGAGACATTCTGGCTTGACATTTATTTTTCTGAAAATCCAGCTAGGGTGCCTATGCTAATGCAGGAGGGCCCGTTGTTTGCACAGACTTACCCTGCTGATGACAGCTTAATAAGCTCCTTTATTTTGTGTTTTTATTCAGTAAGCTTGTCAGCTTTTGTGTAGGGGCTGAACTCTGCTTTCGCCCTCTCCCCCCGCCCCAGCTTCTCTGAAAGGGGCACCTCTGTCCCCATAATTTGTAGTAAAAGGGAGTTATAAAGGGAGGTGAACCGACTGGCTGTAGGGACATGGGCTCCTACAAAGCAATATAACTTTGGCAGGGGCTGACCCTGTATGCTCAGTGTGCCTAAGAACTATGGAAGTCAGTGCGAGTTTTAGGGGTGTAATGACTAATGCAGGACCAAGCCTTTATGACTGAGAAAATCCAAACAGCGAGGGAAGGACTCGGTAAACAGGGCTACTCGAAATGAATTACGGCACATGATGTGAGAACAGGTCAACATTTCTTATCTGGCATAACGTTCTTCTAAACAGACAGAAAGGCATCCCACTACCGTGGCTGTTTGCTATTAGATTCTACGCAAAAATATATTGGGGTTGCATTTAAACACAGTGACTTGAGATAGCAAAAAGATGTGGGATTGTATTTCTTTCCATTCATTTAATTGGAACCATGCTGAAAAGGCGTATGAAAACCATCACTCTTGAATATATCTAAAGTGTAGCTTTGAGACGCTGAGAATGATGTCCAACCTAACAGAATTTCAGATAGAGGAGATATTTTGGCTCATCTTTTGCTTCCAGCTATATTCAGTTTCCCCGTGTGGTTATTTTTCTTGTTATTGGATGCATCCAGCTATCTGTTTCTTACTTCACCGTCTGGGAATACAAACCGTTTTGTCTCATTTCAGACCTTAAAATGGATTGGACAAAACAAAAGGAAGGGAAAAAAAAAAAGGTATTTTTTAGTAGTACCTCTGTTCTTGTTTCTGTGTCTTAATAAGCCAGCTTCTTAAACAAAAGGCCTAAGAATTACTGTCTTGGAATATTTTGCATCTATATATATTCTGTATTTTGTAACATCTGTGTGCTGGGTGGTGGTTCATCAGGAGGGGATGAATGTAACCATTTTAGATGCTTAACTGGCTGTTGGGACTTGCCCAGTTTGTAATCACAGTAATTGCACATACAAATATGGCCATGTAATTACGCGTGCATTTTTGCGTTTAGTTTCAGGAGTTCGTTTAGAAAAGTATAAATGCGGCCCAATAAATCCTTTATATCTCAGACTTCTGTGCTTTTATAACTCTATATAATTATGCAATAACACTGCATCTGGAGAGGTTTCACTTAAGTAAAGCAATAAAGAGCTCAGGTTAGATTATATATTTTTTGAGTTAGACCTACACTAACTTGCTCAGTAGTGTGTTTTTCAGCTTGTAAGATTGATTGAGTTCAGCAGTACTCATGCAAGAAAATTTTCTTGTGAGAATAAAGAGCAATTTAATATGAAACCAAACCTGGATCGGATCATTTAAGCTTCCACAATGACTGAAGTGATTAAATGGGTATTAATATAGTAAAATATACACCGAATACTCAGATACTCAGGCAGTGAAGGCTTTTGCCAAGGTACAAATTGGATACTAAAATGAAAGAATTACTTACGAGCGACGTACCAGCTCTGAGAACAAATCTAAATCATTATTATTACTATTGGCACTCATGGATTGAGATAAAATAGACACAATTAGATACTGTAATTCATTTCTACTTATGTGTTCATAGGCACAGAAAGAGATAATAAGACTAATTTCTCAATATTTTGTGTGTACAGATATGTATGTATTATGTTTTTTATAATCAAATGAATGTATAATTGTTGTTTGTCTTCCGTATTTCTACTCCTGGAATCGTTTTCACAAATGTCTAATGAAGACTGATATCTTTTTTTGTATTCAGTGTTACCGTGAACCAGCAGTTACTGCGGTACTGTCATTTCTCAGTCTGGATTGCTTGCTAATTTCCCTTATGGCTTTTTTCCCAATGGATAGTATTACCGTGCTAAAGACAAACGCTGAATTCTGCAGATGATACAGAAACAGATGTTAGATTTTGACACTCAGAAGTGAGGGTTTTCAAACCTACCGAGCTTCATCCTGCCTTCTTAGTCTGCCCCCACACAAGAGAGACGTGAAATACCTAGCAAGAACTGCAGAATCCAGCTTGTCTCTGAGAAAAGATATCTATTGTATTAAATATTTTCATTTAATTTCATTTTTTGTTAGCTCAGAAGGCTTAAACAGAATTGTGCTGATATGATCCTCTATGATAGTTTGCAGCACACGAAGATTTAACTTCTGTCCATAAGCTGCACAAAAATGGTGTCGCAGATGATAAAGAACAAACCCAAGTCTGGTCTGAATGGCTCCAGATTAAGAAACGATTGCTGTTGCAATGTTTGTCATGGTTGTGGCAGTAAAGAGAAAGGTCCCTTTTCCTATTTCAAATGTTCGTATCGGCATCTATCACAAATTCTCTGTTGTGCATCTATGCCAAAATCTTTTCAGTATGTTTTAAAATCAAATCTTCTAGCTCTTTTTTTGTTTAGGTTAATGTCCGTGTTTAAGCAGCTGTTTTGAAATACAGTGCCTTTTTTACACCAAGAAGAAAAATTGTTTACTTCTTTTACATTTTTTGGCACCCTTTTTTCCTTTAAATGTAGACAGCTACAGTCAGAGCTAGCAGAAGGGTTCATAACAAATCCCATATTTGCTGACTTTAGCCTGGTCTTTGCTTTTCTGTCTGGGAGGGTCACAAGCCCTAAGAATGTGCCTGATACTCGAATCTGCTCGCAGCGGTTGTGTTCAGCCTCACCCCGCTCCCTCCAGCGATGGCACTCGCTAGCCTGGCTCTCTGCTTTCCTGCTGGATGAGGGTCGGTCCCCGATCTGGTCTGCATGAGCCTGGCTTCTTCTGCAGGGCCATATCTGAGTCCTGCAGTCCATATCCCATCATCTGCCCTGAGCTTTTTAAAACTAAAAGAGGTTTGAGAAGTCAAATGGCTCGGGGCAAGGCAGTAGAGGAAGAGCAGCAGGGCTTTTTTTTAATGCTGCATTTTCACACGCACCCTGTTACTGTATGGTTTATTTGACTGGGGGCAGAGATTACTTTTAATTTTATTTCATGTGCATGCTGTTCGGGCCGGAAAGTTGCAATCAGATCCTTTGCAAGCTCATTGAACTGCCTCTCTGCCAGGGCTTGGCAGGGAGTTTGTAAAAGCCTGTCCCCCAGCCCTGTCAGACATTGTCCCACTCCATATAAAGCAAGACATCTCTTCTCCACAGTCTTTAAATATTCTTCTTGTGCAATTATTTGTGCAAGCGAAAATTAATCATTCAAATGTCCTTGGAAACCAAATACAAGAAGGAGCTGGAGCATGGCCGAAATTGCCATTTAAATGCTTTTAAACTGAAGAAGCTACGGGCAGATAATAGTTTGAAGTATTTGCTGTTCTTTAACAGTACTGTACGCAAAAGTCCATCAAATATAGTGAGAGGCAATTTCTGGCTGGTAAAAGATAAGTTTTGGCATTTCAATTGCTTTTCAAGCCACCGTGTCATTGAAATACACATTGCCACTCAATGCACAAACAGTAGTCCTATGGGCAATGTAATTAAAAGCTACTTTGCGGTCTCTTTTAAGCAGAAAATCAGTCTTACTTAGCCAAGTATTGCATAGGCTAAACTACTTTTCCTCAGGTAGAATTCTGTTTCTGCATTCATGGATATTTTATTTTTTTTTTTTTCTTGTAAACATTCATTGGTACAAGATCCTGTACAGAGGGGTATGCAGGGGGCACTTCACTGGCCGTGTGCTGTGTGATGCCCACAAGAGCCTCTGCTAGCTAATTTGGGAGTTTCAATGGAGCGTCACTCAAATGAGAGGATACAAAAGCTATTGGGGGGGGGCACTTCAAGGCAATACAATGTGCAGAGCTCAGAGCCTTGTAAGAAATGCTCCCTTGCACCTCATCCATGGAGAAATGTAAAAGCGTGCCGAGATACATTACACTGATATTGCCTGGTTGTAATTTTTTTCAGCTCTATGGCTATTGTTACCAAGATAGCAATGACATCCCAGACACGCTGACGACCATCACTGAACTAGGCTCGCCTTTAGAGATGATTCAGCTTTTACAGACTTCCTGGGAAGACAGATTTCGAGTGAGTAACAACTGTTTTAAAAGGACTTTTAAGGGAGCGATGAATACAAAATACCATCAAGCATGAAGCAAGGGTTATGTACTATGCAGTGCGATTCACATTTATTAAACGTTCGCTTTGCTTATGATTACATCTTGGTTTAGAAACAACATTTAGCACTCCCTTTCTGCAGTGTTTAAGATATTGTGCTATTTTGTCTGTAGATGTTATCTAATGGTAGCCGGTTGTATGCTTTTTACATGATATCTTCAAACATTTCTTACTTGTTAAAGCTCGAGGCCCAGGATTTTTGGCGTTGAGCGTTGTGCTCTGCAACTGGGATTTAAACAATAGAAGGATGTTACATTTCTCTCCTGATCCTTATCGTAGGTTGGTTTTATAATTGTTTTCTACTGCTTCCTGCTCTGTTCGCCTTTTACTGG